ATGTCTCAGTGAATGTTTCTGACCTGAAGCGGAGTTACCCGACCTTAGTTGTGAATATCCGAACTTTTCCTAAAGGTCGGCTGACCTGTAGTCACGAATCGCTGTCTTAGCTTCCGTTCCCCCTTGATTACTAACCACTTCCGACCTTGTTTGTCGGGGGTTAGAGATCCTTGTCAGCCATTCTTATTGGTTGCCCATATCTCGAATTCTGACGCCAGGATGCTATTATGGCCTAACCGCGAATCGCCTCCGATTGTAATATTTTTCCACTTCAATTGCGATTTCATCTTTCTTTGCTATATTTGCTAGTATAGTGGAAGAGTGGAAGGATCAAACCTTCAGTTCGATATACTCTGACCACCTGCGGTTGCCTCCAGAAAGGGTAAGAAGCGTAGATTGACTTTTATCTAGGGCTAATTGGATTATTTCAAATCAAAAAACAGATAACTCCTTGAGATCAAGTTTCACGAACAAGATGAATTGTCACGCAGAAGTACGGGTTTCGCAGCAGCCATCTTGGGGACACGGCGTGCATAATGAAAGGGTTATTTTATAATTAGACATTGCGTTGCGCTCGACGTAAAAATTGCAAAATTCACACAAAAATTACTCGAAGTCATGCAATAATCAATGCGTGAAGTATCTCGACGCAAATGGCTTCCACCGTAGTAGTTTCTTGACATGGTGATGCAAGTCCATTCCTATTCACACTTGCACAACAAATGTAATCTAGCGCCGATACCACATGCGAGTGACTTTTCTGTTCTTCATCTTCTTCTGTATTAAGAAGATTCCATAGAGCAACGCCTCGGCTGTCGGGGGGCCTGCAACAACATCAAGTAAGCAAGCCATCATGAGAAAATGACATATTCATAAAGACTCACAACCAGGAACATATATATCCACCGGAACAATCCTATCGCAGCCTCGCACCACAGAGTAGCTATAATGATAGTATCCGCCCCCATTCGCACAGCTACCCATGCTAATCACATATCGTGGTTCAGGCATCTGGTCATATACTTGACGAAGTGCGGATGCCATCTTGTTGGTAAGTGTGCCAGCGACAATCATGAGATCTGATTGTCTAGGGGAGGCCCGAAACAGAAGACCAAGGCGATCTCCATCGTACCGCGGACCGGCTATATGCATCATCTCCACGGCGCAGCAGGCAAGTCCGAAGGTCATAGGGTAGACAGAGCCCTGTCGGGCCCAGTTCGCGACTTGGTCGAGCGTTGTTCTGGTAGGATTCAGATCTCAGTCAATCAAGTCAGAGGCATCATATGAAGAAAGGGGCTCAAACAATGCATATTGCACCGGACTATTTGGAGTCTCTTCACTCATTAAGGGGACGTGTTGTCTACTGTTCCCCCTAACTGTAGGAGAGGAGTGCAGCCGTCTTTTGTTTATGCTCTCAAACGTCGGAGTTAACGGCCGTAGAGTGAAGACCCTACGGATGGCCACACTCTGTCCTTAAAAAGCAATGTCAACCCAGGAACTGAGGTAAGTTTAGACCCTTTGGTAGTGGATAACATGGCAACTTACTCTTGAACACGCTTGGAAACAGTGACATTGTCGGTAGTCGATAGCTGGTCTTGAAGTACGAAGACAATCTTGGGCTCCAGGGCAAATAGTGAAAAATCAAGTGCTTTTTATTCAAGCTCAGAATGACAACAGAAGTGTCTGCATTTGAATCCTATCACAGAGAAATCTTCTAACATCATCTGAGCAGCAGTACATACATTGACAATCATTGACCACAAATAGGGTATATCTTACGAACTTTACGAGAAATACCGCTAACACTTTGATAGCTCCACTTTTGTCCGGAAGGGCCTATGATCTATCCTACTGTACCATCGAAAGTTGATGGAGCAGAAATCTGAATGAACTATCGCTGGCGCAAGGCTATGCGATTCGTTACCTATATATATATCATTATGATTCACCAAGGAGCTCCGAAGGGCATTGGTTTCTATCTAATAAATACACCGTTTCCGAAGTCGAGCTTCTTAGCATGTATTAGCTCCAGAATTACCACAGGTATCCATGTAGTAAAGTACTATCAATAAACGATAAGTGATTTAATGAGCCATTCGCAGTTTCACTGTATAAATTGTTTATATTTAGACATGCATGGCTTAATCTTTCAGACAAGCATATGACTACTGGCAGAATCAACCAGATACCTAATACCTGATGGGTGCCCGGGCCGCTGGCCCCGCGCAAACGGGGCGACCGCGAGTCCCCGGAGGGGCGGAGTGATGTAGGTGAATCCAGAAGGGGCGAACGAGCGCCTGGCACGCGCCGACCGCCCCCGGCGTACAGGGGCAGCGACGAAGACCATCCAATTGCAATCCGCTGTAGCCCCTCAGAACAGGTCCGCAATGATCCCGTCAGAGCGCCCTGGCGGGCGCCAGCGGGCCGCGACATACGGCCCTCGGGGGGTTTTTGTCCGCACCCCGCGGACACGCTCACAAAGAGCGGCTCCAAGATAGCTGCCAATTCGTGTACTCCTTCATTGCCACTTAAAGGAGCCCGTGAATACCGATAGAGTTGTTTTGGATGGTTCTTAGTGGGATTGCCTCCGCACCACTCGACGAAGATACCAAGGTTGAAATAACTTAGGACGACGGCAATATTTATTGAACACATCAAACCCGTCGCTAGTGCTCTGGGTTTTCTGCTGTCTCTAAATCGCCGCAGCTCCTCTACATACAGCTATTCAGGAAGGGTAGAGTAGTAGGAATATATCCATGAGTATGTATGATACCATCTTTGGCATAATTGCCCTTGTGCGATGCGTTCTTGAGTTTGAATTGCTTTCAACCCGCAGGATCCAATCAGCAAGCAGTACTGCCCTTTCCTTTTGCAGGTGGCACAGGGCAGCACATCTCATCTGTTAGGATCACGTGCCTCAGGCAGGCCCTTTGACTGGTCATGGCCCCTTAGCGCCTCCCCCCAAAATCGTTTCTATAGTGGAAGTTCTAGGGGGTTAAGGGAGTCTCCATGCCCTAATCACTAGCATTCCCTCTGGATAGTCTCATACCATCCCTCCTCCATCCTCCGTGTAAGGAAGATCACAACCTTGTCTGCCCGCTCACTGGGTAGCACGACTTGTACCCTACATAATCTGTTCGTCTCGGGCAGTACTGGCACTGCCAAGTCTTCTATGCTAGGAATGCTATCCACGGGCAAACTGTCAGCGAACAACATATGTTGAAAGAAGCTCCCTCCTTCAGCGGTGATAACCTCCTCTGCAATGCGAGCAGCCAGTTGCCCGTCCAGAAGACCTTCCTTGTGTGTGTGGAACCGCAATAGTTCGACGGCTTGGCGCCGAATCCGGGGGACCCGGCACTTAATAGCCGTATAGTAGAGTGGAAGAATGATTCCCATATCGGCAGTAAAGCTAAATCTTTGCGTGCAATACCCGGATACGAGGTGGGACGCAGTGATTGCGGAGGCGCATTTTAAGATGTCAAGTATTTGGACAATCATGGAGTTGAAGGCCTCTGTGTGCTGGTCAAAGGTCAATTCGCCAGCCGACGGCATAGCACTGGAAGCCATTATTGTTGCCATAGTATGATAGACCCGCAGGAGCTGATCAGCGAGAGCATCTCGAGACTCCGGAACCGCCTCAGAATGAGTGCGGGATGCTTTGTATGTCCTTAGCCAAGCCACAAGGGCTGCCTGGATTCTTTCTTGATGGCACGATAGCTCAGAGAGAGGTTTAGAACTACTCTGGCTCTCCCTAAGGTAATATTGCTCCGACAGGAAATGAATGTCGCCAAGTAATCCATCCAGGTGCTTCCGAGCTTGTTTCAAGGAACTGAAGGTCTCTGGTAAGTGCTCACTGGCGACACCGCAGAGAACAAAGTACCGCTGCTCGAAGTGATGGCCGAAAAGCGCCGAATATATATTGAGGCGAAATATTGCTCCAATAAGGTCATCATTCAGAAACTCATAGACCGGTCCCGGGACGATAATGTCCCTATCGCCTGCTTGAGAGTGATCCGCAATCTCCTTGAGTAGCTTCATCCCGCTCTGTAGGTGAACTTGACAAGTAGCATACTGGCCACGGGTCACCTCCAAACAGAGTGATACTAAGCAGAAGATCAGAGCAACATGCATTGACTCGAGCGTTTGGGTTGACAGGAACGGCTGGAGATATCGGATCGCTTTAATATAGTGCTGAAACATGAATTTCTGCTGTTCATCCACGGTGAAGTTACCGACATCCGAGGAAAGAGGGTCCTGCATCCCCTGTTTGTGTGCCGCGCTCAGGGCCAGAATGACATGCAATATGGCTGGCTCCCGGGAACTTGCCTGTAGGACTAGTGACTCCCAAAACGTAGACGGAAAGACACCAGCGACTTTCACCGCCGCCCGGTGTAAATACCACTCGAGGAAATATTGCTCATGTTGGGCCATCGGGTAAAATGGACCGGCAACGTTGTACTGCGTGAGCTCGACGCGCTGTTGAGGCGCAGCCGAACGATTACCGTAATAGTTGCCCCCACCGCCCCAAATGCCATATCCATCACAGACCCGACCGCTAGATACACATCTATGGCATGCGGGTCGGCCTTCATCGCATTTGACTCGTCGTAGCCTTCCCCAGCGGTTAACTCGGCAGCGGACATGGAAGTTTGGCCAGCTCACTTGCAGGTGCGACAGCCAGACTTCACTTTGGCTCTTCGGCGCATCGTGGCGTTCCCTGTGTCTTCAGACTCCTTATGGCTCAACCTTGAGTCGTAAATGTGGGAGATCGATTCGGATATGCGGGTGCGAGATAAGAGCATACGTTAGGCTTATATAGGATCCCTCGGAAAAACAGAACTGTCACTGGCCAAGAGTAACAGCCATCGCCACTCGACCTCCTGGCTAGTGGTGGGTCACATGCCGTGCAGAGCTGAGCTTTGATTCGCTTGTTCGGGTTTTGCACCGTGTGATTGGCCAGTTGTTCATTGATTGCATATGTACTTGAGTTCATTCCTTGAGATATTCTATGGATAGGGCCAGCTACCAAGCAGAAAGACGCCCCATGCTTGTATATAAAAGTTCACCAGTGCCAGTATGGGTGCTCATTTCCTCACATCCTCTTTTACTACATCACTTAACATTCCATCACCCCTATGGCACCTAAGAGCGTATCATTTGATCCTTCTCGGGACATTCCCCCTCTGAAAGGAAAGGTCATCCTAGTAACCGGCGGATGCACTGGCTTGGGCAAGCAGTCGGCTCTGGAACTAGCAAAACACGCCCCATCACAGGTCTGGGTCACAGGCCGCAATGCGGAGAGGGCAATGGCATCGATTGCTGAGATTCAAGCTCACGCACCAAATGTCGCCATCCGTTTTCTCGAGCTTGACCTGACCTCATTCGACTCAACTCTCAAGGCGGCCAACATCTTCCTCACCTCCGCACCTCGTCTAAACATCCTTATGCTCAACGCGGGCATCATGGCCGTGCCGCCCGGACAGACCAAGGAGGGTTATGAGATTACGTTCGGAACAAATCATCTCGGGCATGCGTTACTTTTCAAGCTCCTCACACCACTCCTCCTCAAGTCCTCCAACAACCCACCGAGATCTGATATCCGGGTCGTGATTACGAGCTCCAATGGACACAGGTTTGTTCCTGCGGGTGGTATCCGATTCGACTCTTTGGCCACAGATGGCAGTGGTGTTTCCATTTCACACCGGTATGGACAAAGCAAACTTGCGAATGTTCTTTACGCGCGGGAAATTTCCAAGAGATATCCGCAGCTCAAGGCTGTTTCTGTCCATCCGGGAACTATCAAGACGGATCTCCATCAGTCGAATGGGGGTAGTCTACTTATTCGACTTTTTCAGTCCGTTGTGCTTCCATTTGTTGGGCAGAGCGTAGAAGAAGGAGTCAAGAATCAGCTATGGGCGAGCACGGCGACGGATATTGTGAGCGGAGAATACTATGAGCCTGTTGGTGTGTCTGGAAAGGGAGGGACTTACTCAGCGAATGATGAATTGGCAAGGAGGTTGTGGGAATGGACAGAAAGGCAGCTCGATACCCATGTAAAATTAGGAGAAGCCAAGCACAGCGGATAGGTAGATTTATTTCTTGAATTTCCTTTTCCTTATTTCTCCCCCCTCCCCCTTCCCCCCCAAACCCTTTTGTCTAGCCGTCTTGTTGTTGAATAGCATAGTGTATTAAGACGCAGTTAAGTACATGTCTTAGTAATAAACAGCATACCCATTAGCAGTTAATGTGCCACCATCATCTATGAAAACACATTAGTATAATCTATGCCACTCTTTCAGAAATATTTACTAGATTAATAGAGATAGGATGCTGGGAATTAAAGTCAAGCCTTGTAAAGTGTAGCTTTCAATTGTAGGCTGTCCGAAAAATGGTCTAATGTTTTGATACTGTGATATAAGCACGCCTTCCATCATCTGTTCTCCCACCGCTTGCTCAGTTCCAATCTGACTTCCGTAGACGAAATTTACGAGGATCTCTGACAATCCTGCGCCTATTTCGACAAACCATGTCTTCAGATTGTGATTCTCCTCTGCAACTTCGTTTGATTGCTTTTCTCTGGCTCAGGATCGTCGAAAGTCTTCCTTCTTGTCATTAACCTAGGTTCATTCAGATCCACTTCCACGCCCGGATCTTTGTTAAGTCGAAAAGACACAGAGATCCAGATTCTCCTTCTCGACCAACTGAAGGAAGCTCGATTTGCTATACCAGAAGGATGTATGGTACATGGTCGATGGAGGCCTTGTGAATGCCGATACCCGTACCGAAGTGAATTTGTCTTCGTATGGGCTCAATCTATAGGGATATCGAGAATTGACTGAAATGGATGAAAGCGCTCGCTTCATCTAGAGCAGATTCAACCTGGAGTCAAGCAAATCCCGCTGTTTGTCGATTCGCTCAAGGACGTGCGCCGTATCTCGATGTGATGTTGCGGTCGCTGCAGCATCTCGCAGTAGCTGTGCGATTTCCACATAATTTTGGACTTTTCGCTTCAGAATCTCTTCTCTATCGGTTGCATGCCTAGACTGAAGCAGTCGTGGGGGACCGCTGTCGCAAAGGTCAATCCCTCGTTGGCAGGACCAGTAGCACATGCCCGCGCAGATGTTGCGCAAAATATTTGGCGCGAGATCGATCAAAGGATGTCTCTCGTGGTCTTCATGATGAGTCTCGTGCTGTTTTATCCACTGGCATATGTTGACCATCTCATTTAATGCGCGCAAACTTTCATATTCTACTCGTCTTGCCGTTACTTCGGCCTCCAAGCTTGTTTTGTCCTGTATACCGAATTCCGATACACAGTCTTCAATCATCAGTCGACAGTGTAGCTCAAGAGCCCATAAAACCCCTCGATAGAGGTGGGTATATTTCCCCGTTTGACTGGAGTTTGGCTCGTTAATTTCAATGGGATTGGGTCTACCTGCGCTGTCTGTGTACCTCCGTAGATGTCGCGGACAGCAGCTGTCCCTCCAATAATCCAGTTGCTCGTACAAATTGTAGATGTCATCGAGGATGACGCCTTCTCTTTTTGAAAAAGGGCTGCACAAAGTCTGTGTAAGTTGACGAGCTATCACAGCAAGGGCAAGAAGAGCATCGAAATAGTCTTTAGTCTCGTGCAGCGAGATGTTCTCGCTACTCCCAACATCATTGTTTGGGATACGCGACATTTGCTTTTTGTCAAGGCAGTGAAATGCATCGAGTCCATAGATGTGCCAATAGAGCAGCACGCGACGCTCGCTAGCCCTGGCGAGTTTTGATGGTAATGTTGAATTGGCGCTGTCATGATCAAGAATTCGATAGTTCATCGTCATCAGCACGAGCGAGTCATGGGTAAGAAACAGTCTTCCAAGATTCGACAGGAGTGGCAGACTCCTTGAGTCATCATACTCAAAATCGATCATCAGGGCAAGAGCTTCAAGATCGTCAAGTCGGATAGTTTCATTGTCACAAGTGTTGCTTCGAGCACTGAGATACCGTTCGCGGAAAGTGGCTGCGAGAATTTGCTGGAGGTTCCACTTGTCTGGAGCTTCAGTGAAAGGCATACCTCTGCAGGCAACGGCATATAGAAGCATTTCACTGCACCGATTGGCATGATAGTCTTCCCAAAAAGCATCCGCGAGGAGAATTGGAAGGTATGGGGCCGCATAATCAAAATAGGAACGCAGTGCTGCCGTGCAGAATGCAGAGTCTACCGAGACCCCCATCCAGGGATATGTGCTGAGTTCTTCACTTGAATAGTCAAGGTCCTTCCCGTCTTGTTCTTGACTGTCCGTCTGGGTCATCTCAGAGGTGGAAGTGGGATTCTGCGAATCCTGGCTTCGTTGATTGTTATCCTCGGCAGGTACGCAGTTGCCCATGAAAATTTGATCGAGGAAAAGCATATTATCGAAACTCAGTGCAAATGGACTATCAGCAAACATGTCGAACGAAATATTTGATAGTGCCGCATTGTCATTTCCGGAGGAAAGAGCTAGAATATGTGATTCCGAGGCCACCCGTGAAGCTGAATCGCCTCGCACACCTGGCGATGGGTGCAATAGGGCAGGCTGTAAATCTCCAGTGCCAACTGTGACAATACCTCCGCGAGCGGTAGTTTGGCGGCGCCGCCGAATCCGAACGTCATCCGAGTCATCCACATGGCATTGTATGTCCCGAAGGGCACATTGTGAACATGCAGTCATGCCCTGTCTAGCACGCAACAGTCGGTCACATTTGATCTTTCGTCGATGACAAAAGTCGCATGACACTCGTTCTAGCCCTCGTTTCAATGGCATTGGGGGTGTTTCCAATGAAGTTCCGCCAGTTGAGAGATTGTGACAAAGTGAGAGGGACGGAGGTGGAGATATCGCGGGACTTTAGCGGCAATAAAGTGGAGACAAATAGACCGCCCTGTGTAGGATACAGGACGGGGATAGAGAGCACCTATGAAACTGAACCGCAATTCAGGCCATGTCAAGGCTGTGTCGGGCTGACTTGATAAAGAGAGTCCAAGAAGCTCGAAATGAATGCCAGACAGGGTGGTCTATCATCAGTCAGGCTTGGAGTATCAATGGCCTGCCTCATCATTGAAAAAGCAGCAGTATCGCCATCGATGGAACGGCGATTGTGCGGGGATTGAACGGGAGTATCCCAGAAAACTTGTCCAGCAAGGCAAATTGGGGTCTTCAAAAGACGAAACTAGTCTTTATATCGCTGCTACAAATTTGGTTGACGGCAGGCAACCATAATGACGCTCAATGCAATTTCCGTCCTTGTGACTACATATAACGCCCAGTTACCTTCTCGATCGCAAAAATCATAAGATCGGAATCACGAAAAACAAATCAATTCACGAGCGGCTCACCATGGATCAAAATGTGGATATGTATGGGTACTTGCCCAGCAAGCCAGCTGCATTATTTGGCATTGTGTTCTTCGGTACTTCAACAGTCGTGTGCATTCTGCAGATGGCATTCGGACCATATAAGTACTACTGGATGACTACCCTTGCACTCGTCGCTGTGGGAGAGGCCATCGGCTGGGGAGGTCGGCTCTGGGCTCATATCGACGTATGTATTAATTTTAAATCAATGACCAGTTGCTAACAGTTACAAGCCAAACAGCTGGATGGCATTTATGATCCAGATTTGCAGTCTCATCGTCAGCCCCGTCTTTTTGTCTGCCGCAGACTATGTCCTCTTCTGCAAACTGTAAGTGGGTTGACTGAAGGCTTCAAAAGAAGGTACTGACAAGAGAAGTATCGAGAAGACTACCCCCCGCCTCTTCCCAATTCCCTCCACATTCTTTTGGGCGGGATTCATCATTTGCGACATCATCGCCTTAGCCATCCAGACCGTCGGAGGAGTAGAGGTATCAAGCGCTCAGAACTACGAAGAACTCAGCCACGGTGGCGACGTTATGCGCTCGGGAATCATCTTCCAGTTCAGCAACACGATCGTCTTTGTCATACTGATCATGGGAGCAAGTCTCCGATTGCGACAAAAGAAAGCACTGGCCCCTCAAGTTAAATGGCCAGTATTGGTGGCTTTGTGCGTGTCAACAATCATGGTACTAATTCGCAATGGATATCGTATTGTTGAGTTATCGGATGGATGGAAGGGCCGTCTCATGCACACGGAGCGATATCTCATCGGGTTGGATATGGTACCAATGGCCATTGGAGTTGGGGTTTTTGTTATATTCCCCCCTTCCTTCTTCTTACATGAGGACAAGAAGCTTAGCAGTTCGATGGAAATGTTGGAATAGCTGCTTCTAGCTATGAGAACAGAGCCTCGCTTTGCATCGTTCTGGAGATGGGGATGAAGGACTTGAGAAGCTCCTGAAATAAACTTTCGGGCTCTTGAACAAAAGCAATGAGCATTGTTGAATTTGCTCGCCTTATAGTCTAATCAGATATTCGAGTGTGGTAAAATTTTCCGTTCCCCTAGTATAGGTGGCGGAAGTTCAAGTTCAAACTGCCGTGCATAGTCAGTCTCACTTCCAGAGGCCACTCCCTGTAACCGGTCACGACGTCGATTCTCCCATGCGAGAGCGAACCGAAGCATGATAATGAACGAAACCTTGACCCAGCTGGCTGCAATCATTGACCAGATACCCAAGGAATATACCGGAGCCTGCTCTGACTTGTAGAAGAAAGGACCTGCAATGTACCCCACACAGACTCCCAGGAAGATCATCGCGTTAGTGACCACTTTCCAGTCAGCTCCAGCATCCAAAATGCGAGTAAGTTACCTTTGATCTTTTGTTTGTCTGGCCCGTGCGGCAAGATACATCACGGCGATTGTCTATCTCTAGGCTGGTCTCAACATGGCTATCACGTTTTCATCGAGATTGGGCTGCAAAGTTTCTTCTACCCTGGCCTTCGTCCTTCACAGAGCTTACCATACTCCAGTTGCCGAAAGCCAGGTACTGGATATGAAGGCCTAGGGCCTGGCTTGGAGTGCAATGTCTAGAACAGGGAGAATCCCATGCAAAACAAGTGCTGTTGCAATCCATGCTCACGGACTGTGCCTAATCTGGTTACCTAGTAGAAATTTCACGTTGTTCAACCATCGTCCAATCAGCGGCGACA